AGGCGCCACACCCAGTGTGGAGCTCAACATGGGGCTTAAACTCATGGCCCTGACATCTTTTTTTTTTTTAAAAGATTTTATTTATTTATTCATGAGAGACAGAGAGAGAGAGAGAGGCAGAGGGAGAAGCAGGCTCCCAAGGAGCAGGGAGCCTGATGTGGGACTCAATCCCAGGACCCTGGGATCATGACCTGAGCTGAAGGCAGACGCCTAACCATCTGAGCCACCCAGGCGCCCGTCACGGCCCTGAGATCTTGAGCTGAGCTCAAGAGTCAGACGCTTAACTAACTGAGCCACCAGGCACCCCTTAAAAGACATTTCAAACTTAACATCTCCAAAACTGAATTTCTTATTGCTTCCCATTCCCATCCTGCTCCTCCTGGTCTTTGCCACTTCAGTAGATGGCAACTCCATTCTTTAAACTGCTCAGTCAAAAATACTGGGAGTCCCCTTAACTCCCCTTTGCTTACACCCTGCATCAATTTATCAAATCCCATGTGCCATCCTGGCTGAATATATCCAAGACATCTCATCACTCCACTGCTTGCACTTTTCCCAAGCCACCACTGTCTCACTTGCAGAACTGCAATGGCCTCCTAAACCGTCCCTCTTGCTCCCCAACAATCTATTCTCAAAACTCCCTTACTCCCCAACAATCTATTCTCAAAACAGAAGCTAAACTGATTCTTTAAAAATAGAAGTCAAATCATTTTATTTCTCTGCTCAAAACCTTCCAATGGCTTCCCCTCTCAGTAAAAGCCAACATTCTTACAATGCCCTGTAAATCCCCACATAATTTGGCATCCCGTTCCCTCTGACCTCATTTCCTACTTTCTGCCTGCCACACTCTGCTTCTGTCACTCTGGCCTCCTTTCCATGCTTAGAATGTAGTGTAGACATCCTCTTCCCTCAGAATGATTTCTGCACTAACCATTCTTGCTACCTGGAAGGTTCTTCTCCCAAGGACATTTCTTGCTCCCTCACCTCCTTCAGATGTGTACTTAACGTATGTTTCTCAGAGGGACCCCACCCCACCAGTCCTATTTAAAAAGAAACTTCTTTCCCTATCCTCAGCACTTTTTTTTTAAAAAAAGATTTTATTTATTTATTCATGAGAGACAGAGAGAGAGAGAGAGAGAGAGAGGCAGAGGGAGAAGCAGGCTCCCAAGGAGCAGGGAGCCCGATGCGGGACTCGACTCCAGGACCCCGGGATCATGACCCGAGCCAAAGGCAGACGCTTAACCATCTGAGCCACCCAGGCGCCCTCCTCAGCACTCATTTCTCCCTCACTGCTTCATTTTTTCCCCCTGTAACATTTGTCCTACCTGACACAGTTTATATTTTATTATTTTATTTTCTATCTCCTATGAGAACATGGATTCCCCACCCCCCCCAAGTGTTTGGCACGTAGTTGGTACACAATATTTCTAAGTGTATGAATGCTACTTAAAATGCACTTATATTCTCTGCTTCACTGTTTACTCGTGCTAGCTTCATAAGCATTTGGGCATGCATCCCTGAGGAAGATGAGACTGACTGAATAGAAACACTGTCCACTCGCTCAAGACTATGATATCTATCTTCATAAAGGAGACCAAAGCAGAGAATGGGACTTCTAGAAGTTCAGTTTTCAATTGCAGCCTTGGTATCAAAAAGCCATGTGACATTGGGCAAATAAGTTTTCCTTTCTGGCCATTTATTTTCTCCCCTGCCAAACAGATCATTGCTTTGAATGATCTGATAGGGTTTTTGAGAACGTAAAATGAAACATGAAACGTTGAGTAGGAAACGATGTGTTTTATTTTCTCTAGTACATACAAAAATATACTTACCTGGTGTTTTTTTATTTTTAAGATTTTATTTATTTGACAGAGAGAGACACAGTGAGAGAGGGAACACAAGCAGGGGGAATGGGAGAGGGAGAAGCAGGCTTCCCGTGGAGCAGGGAACCCGATGTGGGGCTCAATCCCAGGACCCTGGGATCATGACCTGAGCTGAAGGCAGACGCTTAACGACTGAGCCACCCAGGCACCCCTATTTTATTTTAAGATTTTATTTGTTTGAGAGCAATGAACATACCTGGAATCAAACCTCAGAGTTCTTTTAGGGACCCTAGACCATGCAGTTTTGCTGTGTTAAGCCCTTATAATACTAGTAATTTGACGGTGAAAGTTCTCGATGTCAACCTATTCTTTCTCCTGGGAAGACTCACTCTTTTTTTTAAGATTTTATTTATTTGAGAGCGAGAGAGAGAGAGAGCACAAGCAGGGGAGGTAGAGGGGCAGAAGCAGACACTCTGCTGAGTAGGGAGCCCAACACAGGGGCTTGATCCCAGCACCTTGGGATCATGACCTGAGCCAAAGGCAGACGTTTAACTGACTGAGCCACCCAGGTGTCCCTGAAGACTCACTCTTAACATCTAAATTGTTTTCTTTCAATATCCTTGTCCAAGTCAGTGAGTAGTCAGTGCCCATGCATGTCCAGATCACATGGGAGTTTTGTTTCCTAATCATTTGTGTGTATGGGTGGTTGGTGAGTCTTCCCACAGCCCAACAGTAACCCGGAACCTTGATTTTCTCACTGGTAACTGTGGTGAACAACAATTGACTCATGTTTATTTTGATGGATTCAATGACATATCAATACTTTACATAAAACAGTAGTACAATGCCTGGGATATCTTAGAGCCTCCATAAATTCTCTGTAAAAATGGAGTATGTATTTGAGCTTCTACTGCCAGGGTCACTTCCTAAAACAGTTCTTTTACCATATTACTATCCCCAGTCCAGGACCTGAAACAATTCGGCTTTCTTTACTTGGTTTCTAAGTCTTCCCCATCCTACTGAAAGCAGAGTCTCAGAGATATCTGTACACCCATGTTCATAGCAGCATTATTCACCCTAGTCAAAAGGTGTAATTAACCCAAGTATCTATTATGGTATACAAACACAATGGAATATAATTCAGCCTTAAAAAGGAAGAAATTCTGACACATGCTGCAACATTGAAGATCCTCCAGGACCTTATGCTGCATGATATAAGCCTGTCACAAAGAGACAAACACTGTATGATTCCACTTGTATGAGGTATCTGAGTTGTCAAATTCAGTGACATAAGTAAAATGGTGGTTGCCAGGACTTGGGGGAGTGGGGAATGAGTTGTTTAATAGGTATAGAATTGTTGTTTTAGAAGATGAAAAGAGGGGATACCTGGGTGACTGAGTAGGTTAAACGTCTGCCTTCAGCTAGGGTCGTGGTCCTGGGATTGAGCCCCCACATCGGGTTCCCTGCTCAGCCAGGAGCCTGCTTCTCCTTCTGCTCCCCCTGCTTGTGCTCGATCTCTCTCTCTCTCTCTTTCTGACAAATGAATAAATTTCTGACAAATAAATAAATACAATCTTAAAAAAAAAAAAGATGGAAAAGAGTTCTGGAGATGGTTGCCCAGCAATGTAAATGTACTTAACTCTACTGACCCATGTAGTTAAAGAGTGGTTAAAGTGGTAAATTTTGTTATGTGTATGCTACCATAATTTAAAGTTAAAAAACAAATTCCCCATCCTAGTTTTCAAAACCTTACTTTCCACTCTTCCCCCATATTCCACACCCCCCACCCCTTTTTCAAGTTACTGCTCTCTACATTGTACTCCCAGCAAAGCACTTCCTTTTCAGCCTTTGCCCCAAGGAGTTTCTTCTCTGGATTGCTTTCATCATCACCCATCCATTTTCAAAAGGTTGTCTGTGCTTTCGCCCCGAAGACAGGTTTACCTTTTCTAGATCCAACCAGAAGTCACATCCTCCATGACATGCCTACACCTTCAGACTAGAGTCCTTTCCCTGTCCTGCACTGCAGAGAGGAGCAAACACATGGCTTTACGGTTTTACCTTCGTCTCTCCTACCGTAACATCCAAGCTCCTGAGTATCAGGGGCATTATCTCACCATTCTCCCGCACCCCTCTTCTAACACAAACACACTCACTCCACCACCACGGAACTCGGCATTCAAGAGCTCCCGGTGAAAACTCAATTCGTTGGGCATCGAGATGGAGGGAAGTCAACTCACACCCCCAAAGAGTGATTTCGTCGACGCAGTGTATAATTTCACACAAAAGCTCTCAGTGTCAAATTACCTGCGAACATAAGGGTTTGACGCTGCAAAACTGCGGGTCCTTGGGGAATCCTTAAAGGCAGCCCAATAATTTGCACAGCTTTCTACCCTCCGAAACACGTTCTCACGTGTCATCCGAAAGTAATGCGAGAGGGAAGACAGAAGCCGCGTTACTTGCGGAGGCGCTCACGTAAGAAAGGGGTTGTGGCTGGCCGTTTCAAAAGTCTCCGAGGCCTCAACCGGGCCGACTGCACTCCCAGAAGAGCGAAGAACCGTTAAAAATTTGTGCTTCCGGCTCAGGTGTCGGCGCCTAATTGAAAAGGGAAGAGAGAACGGACGCAAGCCCGGGTACGGAAAGTCGCAGGGCACAGTTTCCTTCATCCTAGTCGCCCGATGCTGGGGGCGGGACGCGCGTAACCCAGAAGTGAAAGTCCGTTTCCTTCAGGTATTAGACCCCGACCACAGGAAGTCCCGGCCGGACTTTTATCCAGGCTTTCCTGACTCCCCCTTAGCTCTATTCACCGCACTGCCTGCATCGTGGTGCTGTGTCGCCGTGGGCCCTTACATCCACCCTCGTGGCCTAGCCTGAGTTTTGCCGCAACTTCCCAGGGACCCCAACAGAACCCTGGCCACCCTTCCTTTAAAGAACCTTTACCCTACGGGTCCCCATCGGGGTCAATTAACGTTCTCGGAGGGGGCAGAAACTCCCGGGATTTGCAGCTCCCGAAGCCCAGCGCAGCCAGGCCGGCGCCTGCGCGGGGCGTTACCATAGAGAGCAGCCGCCTCTCTGGTCTCGGTTTGCCCTCTCTATGGTCGAGCCGGGTCTGTGGCGGTAAAAGGGAGACTGCACTGCGCAGGCGCTCTCGGCTTCTATTTTTTTTTTTTTTTTTTTTTTTTTTTTTAATCCCCGCACCAAGCGCTTAACCTCATTGGGGTGGAGGAGAAGGCGGCGGCTGTCCGCTCCGCAGCGGCAACAGTAGCGAATAATACGACTGTAAGTACCCGGTTAGGGCGAGGAGATTTAGATCCAGCCCTCCGAGGCCTTTGCCCCCTCCCCTGCGGTGGCGGGCGCTGGGTCTGGGTGGGGGCGATGTCCAGCGCTGTCATCGGCTCTTGGGTACACTTTGGGGGGAGGGGGCGGCCCTTAGGTGGGAGCCGGGCGGGGAGCAGGATGGGAGGGTTGTTTATCCACCCGGTAGGTCGCTGATCCCAGGCTGCTTTGCAAAGGGAGGAGGGGGCGGCTGTGGGGTCAGCCGGGCTTTGTGTGCCCCTCTTTCTTTTTCTCTCTCGGACCGCACCCGGGCCCCCTTCCTGACCCGAGTCTTCCCGGTCGGGTGGGAGAAGCCAGCGAACAGCCCAGTCGCGTTTGAAAAGAGCCCGGGATTGCGAGGGGAGGGGGCGAAGGAGAGAAACCCACAACAACTAGTCATCGGCGAGTGATGGGTGTGGAGAAAGATCCAGAGGGAAGGGGTGCCGGGGAGGCGGGCGGCCGGGGCTCCCAGCCGGGCCAGACAAAAGCTGAGCGAGCGTCGCCGAGCCGAGCTGAGCTGGGGGCCGGGCGGGATGCAGAGGGTCCCTTGGTCCCTGGGGCCCGCTGAGAGCTTCTTTCCAAAGCTGGGAAAGCGGACAAGTGCTGAGTTAAGCCTTGTGCAGCCGCCTCAACTTGCCTTTGTTGTTCTTTGGTATTGGCAGAGCCGCTCTGACGAAGATGAGTGTGTGATCTTGCACGTTAGCCTGGTTGGGTACAATGGAGCTAATCGAATTTTGCTTTCCATTTTCCGAGCCGCTCGGATGAGTATGGGGTTTTCCAGAGTCTAACTTATTACATAATGTTATTAAAATAGTTGTGTTTATTTCTAAGATTTAAAAAAATTAGGTGGAGCCTTTTGAAGCATGTTTTGTTGCATCCGGATGAATTTATTTGTTGTGGTGTTCGTTCATTCAATACTGACCGTTCGTAGAACCTGTGAGTTCTTTAATCATGATACTTTAATTTGTAGATGTGGCAGTGAGAGCTTCGGATTCTGTAGTCCTTTGGGAGGCAGTGATGCAGAAGAGTCAGAAGGGAGAAATAGTTGCAGGCTGCCATGTGCCTTGCATCCTATTCTGGTGCCACAGTCCCGTATAAATTCTAGCTTTAGAGATGGTTGCTTTTATTACTATTATTATTTGTGATATTTACTGAGCTTTGGTATGAGGGATCCTGGACAGTGGGCTCCTTTTGCTCATAAAGGGAGTGAAAGAACAGTAACATTGATGCAGAGACCTTATAGATAAAAACAAAAAACCACAATGTCCCAGAGTTAGTGAATATTATTTATCTTCTCCATTTGCTAAGAAAGCTTTAAATTTTCGTGAGCTGTTTGCTTATTCATTTTGGTAAAATCGTGTAACTGCACCTTTCTTAGCAATTGTTACTCAGATCTGTTTCTGCAATTCATAGTTTGTCAGCTAACATGCAGCAGCACTATTTCAGATTTTTAAAGTTTCGATTTTTTTTTTTTTTTTACTGAGTTTTCAGCCCTAACTTTATATTCCCCCAACTAAGGTTTACCAAAGTTAGAAATCCTTTGAAGTGACCATTGGTGGTGGGGATGTCAAATATTGTATCTCCATGTTACAATCTAAGCTAAGTGGTAAATACAGAAAATGCCTTTGCTAACCTGACACCTTAAATTAGTGTTGGAATTGAAAACCTAGATCTCCTGGTATGTCAGGATTTGGGCCACAGACTCAGCTTTATCTAAAAGAGGTAAGCATTTTTTGTACTAAAAGGAAGGAAAAAACTGAAGCTTGGTGTTATGCTTCAGCAACCACTGCGATAGAATCTCTTAAGTGTAGTTCTGATGATGGGAACTTACTTTTTATAGAGCAAGAGTTCAGATCCTTAAAATAGTTTGACAGGGACGCTGAGAAATGATTGGCCAAAGAACGTTCAGTTTATTGTTCATATGTATTACATTTTCTCCATTGGTTTTGGATTTAGTTTGTTTTTACTTCAGTAGTTAATTCTATTTTCTTGGGTGGCTCAGTTTCACAATTTGTAAGTTGAGTAAGAGATAGTTTCTTGGATCTGAGACCTAAATTTATTTTTGAGACTCCATTTCTTTTTTTTTTTTTAAGATTTTATTTATTTGACAGAGACAGCGAGAGCAGGAACCACAAGCAGGGGGAGTGGGAGAGGGAGAAGCAGGCTTCCTGCTGAGCAGGGAGCCCGATGTGGGACTCGATTCCAGGACTCTGGGATCATGACCTGAGCCGAAGGCAGACACTTAACAACTGAGCCACCCAGGTGCCCGAGACTCAATTTCTTCCTAACAATCTTCTATTTGTAAAATCATCGTTTTTAGATAATACTTTTAATTTAGTATTATTGGTAAATGTTATAACCACTTAAGTGATTATAATATTAGGCTAAGAGCTGAGTTATTAAAACTGCTAGTTTTGAAAACTGCAAGAAAAATGGAATCATCTAAAAGTTTTCCTAGAAAATAAGAGAAGGATCTATTAGTCTTAAAAAAAAAAGATGCAAAACTAAGCAAAGGACAAGTCGTTGATGATAGAGTTTTTGGTTTGTAAAATGTAATTTAAGAAAGTAAACGAACCTTTCTTTACCCAGGGCAAGCACCCTCCATAACGTGTGTGTTTGACTAAATGACCTCCAAAGGCCTTCTCTTTTTAAGCCCCAGAGTTTAGTGGTTATTTCTGGTGGGTCTTCATCACCCCAGGGCTTGCCTGCCTCCTTTATGCTCAGACCAGTACTGCCATACTGCAAGGCTTTTCTTCCCCAGATTCTTACGGCAGCCCCAACCCACCTCCCCACATGGATCCCTAAAGATATGGCTCAAATGACGGCCTTTCTTTCATAATGCCTGTGTTGACTTCCCTCTTGTTTCCTGCCTGGAAATCTTCTCATTCCTTGCTGATTCCTTTTGTATCCATTACCTTCCTCCCTGGAAGATTGATGCCTGTGCTTTTATTCTTCTCCAGATCCTTGAGGGCTCTGGGGGTTTGTACAACATGATGGTATCCTCTGTACTTACTACCAGGAGTTGTGTAGCTAGGAACTTGTGTAACTAGTCACGGTAAATGTGTGAGATGTGAAAGAATGAACAAATGTATCATAACTTAGAATAGAAGACTTTGAACTTTGGAAGAGCTCTTAGAGGCTCCATAGACCACTTTCCTACGTTTTGTCTACTCTGTTCTGATCATCAGCCTCACATTGCAGATGTGCTTCTCTGTTACTGGACAGGTCTTGGTTGTTAGAAAGCTAGTTTAGACTGTATCAAAATCTGCCACTCCCTTGTTATCTGTTCTTTGTTATACCCCTTGAAGCAACATGAATTAAGTCTGTTTCTTCTCCACATAATAGCTTTCATTTCCTAGGACAGCCCTCAAGCCTTCTGTAGATTAATTGATGAATTAATTTATTAGACCCTTTTTTTAGTTAGATACCAGTATCATGAGGGTACTGTTGAAAAGACTGTATGTTCCCCACATTTCCAGGGCTCAGTCTAATAGAGGGCCAGAATGATACAAAGTGAGGCCAGTTATGCTGGAAGTATGTAAACAGCCTAGATCCTTTGTCTCCTCATGGTTTTTTAAAAATTTTTAAAAAGATTTTATTTTTTAAAAAGATTTGTTTGTTTTAGAGACAGAGCCAGCAAAAGTGCACAAGCTTGGCCTTGCAGGGGGGAGGGGCAGAGGGAGAGAGAATCTCAAGCCAGTTCCGTGCTGAGTGCAAAGTCTGTGGGGCTCCGTCTCATGACCCTGAGATCAAGACCTGAGCTGAAACCAAGAGTTAGATGCTTAACCGACTGTGCCACCTAGTCGCCCCAAGATTTTATTTTTTTAAAGTAATTCCTACACCCAACATGGGGCTCAAACCTACAACCCCTAGGTCAGAAGTCCCATGCTCTACCAACTGAGCCAGCCAGGTGCTCCCTCCCCTCATGGTTTAATCAGATTTCCCCATGCTGCCTTCTTTAGGCAAATGCAGTGTCTCAAATGAAACAGAATTTGCTGTGACCTGACCAGAGTATATAGCTGTTGTCTTAGGTTAAGAAACTGTATCAGGAGTTTTCAAACTTTGTTGCACATTCTGGCTCTGCCACTTACTAGCCCTGTGACTTTGGGCCATGGCCTGTTAAATCATCTCTTCCTATTTAATAATTTCATCTATAAAACAAGAGCGAGGGGAGGGCAGTGTTAACAGTAGTACCTACTTACAGGGTTGTAAGGTTTAAATGAGATAATATTTGTCAAGTGCTGAGAGTGATGACTGACATATAGTACGTGGGTATACATGGTGTTCCTACTATGTATTTGTGATAGGAGTTAATATTAATAACAACATAGTGTAAGAAGCAATAATCAAGTCGCAGAATCACTTGAGTTTGTGAAAATACAAATGGTCCGACCTTATTTATTCCTGTCCACCCAGAGATTTTGGTCATTTAAGTCTGTGAGACCTGGACAGCCTCAATTTTAACAATCCCCAGGTGGTTCTTGAAAAAAACCCCAAAACCCTAAAGTTTGAGAACCCTGCACTCTATGTTAATTTTGTTAGTGATTGCATTTGCTTTTACAAATTAAAAAAATTACCAAGTAATAGATGAATAGATTCTCCTGAAAGATTGAAACATTGAGGGGCACCTGGGTGGCTCAGTCGGTTAAGCATCTGCCTTCAGCTCAGGTCATGATCCCAGGGGCCTGGGATCGAACCCTGCATCAGGCTCCCTGCTCAGTGGGGAGCCTGCTTCTACCTCTCCCTCTGCCATTTCCCCCAGCTTGCGCTCCTCTGTCAAATAAATAAATAAGATCTAAAAAAAAAAAAAAAAAAGATTGAAACAAGGCAGATAAAGGGAAGGGCTTGGCCCCAGACCTCAGGCCCCCTGGGAGGCATATCCACTTATCAGTTTGAAATGTATCCTTCTAAACAACTGTTCCCCATTTTGGTAGCTACACATACATGAGTGTCTTAATAATAAA